GGGGGGGGGGGGGGGGGGGCGCCTACTACTACTACTGCTACTACTGCTACTACTGCTACTACTACTACTACTAATTACTACTACTACTACTACTACTACTACTACTGCTACTTGTAGTACTAGTCGTACTAGCAGTAGTAGTAGTAGTAGTAGTAGTAGTAGTACTGCTATTACTACTTACTGCAGCCACTACTATAACTACTACGACGACGACGATTCTACAGCTCAGGAACGGGGAAGCCTGACAATGTTGGACACTCTAAACTCTCCCAAAATCCTTGCACGACTTAAATCCACGACCCTGCTGCAGCCTCGGGCCATTCACCGAGGAACCTGCGCTTCCACGTCGAAGAGGAGGGTAAGGGAGTCGACCCGGAGGCGGTTCTGTTCAGAATGCAGATCACCCAGCATCATCAAGCACATCCCGTCACCATGATCGGCAACATCGTCATGTTGCTCATGACTATCACGGTCATCACCATTTCCTCATCATCACCACGAGTGACGGCTCATCGTGGCCAGTCATCGTCGCCATGGTCGTCAGCTTCTTCAGGGTTATCATGATCAGCATCGCCACCATGCTCAGCAGCACCATCGTTGTCATCATCACCATCATCATCATCAGCGCCATCATCATCATCATCAACAACATCAACATCATCTGCATTGCCAGCATGATCCACGTCATCATGACCGTCATAATCATCATCGCCGTCTTCATCATCATCATCATCACCAGCAGCATCATCATCACCATCGTCATCGTCATCATCGCCATGGTGATGGACAGACCGGCTGTTGTTGAGTTATCACCGTCATGCGATCAGTATCGTTCTCGTCATCATCGTCCACGAGGGAACCGGAGAGACAGTAGCAGTGATGCTGTGTGCGCTATGACTGTGGGAACCTGTGTTTCTGATGGAAGGGTTGTGGGGTGCCTCGTGGAGAAGAACTCTCCGAGCCAAGCCTCGGGATCCGGCTGCACAAAAGAGCACCCGCAAACGCTGCGTGTCCACACCTAAGAAGACAGAGGTTTCCTCCCTATGCTGAGTCTTACAACCTAAAAATTCTCTTCGAGTGGGCAGCAGATCATCCTTGCTTGGAGCCAGCTTGCCGCCAGGGCAACAAGATCAAGGCCGAGAAGGACAAGGTCGCAGCATTCCGGGCATCCATCAGGACCTGCAGCTTGAGTTCGTGTGTTTGCGAGCTGGGGAAGGGCATGCCCACATTCTTCTAACGAATCTTGCACCCAAATGGCTGCGCTTTGTCATGTGCCTCGTGTACTGACTCCCACTCCTGTCATTTCGGAACGTTGTCCAGGATGTTCGGGTCCCGTTGCTTCCCTGGCAGCTCGCCACCTCGGGCGATCCTTTCACAGTCTCCGGGGCAGCCGGCGTCCTCTCTACGAACTCACAAACTGACTTAAGGGATACATCCTTTCCAAACGCACGCTTCAGGCTCGGCCTTTCTGAGTTCGATGTTCCGAGTTCTGCCCTTGAGCACTCGGCCTTAAGGCTGGTCCAGTGTCTTGCCATACCCCGAATCGGCCAGAGCGGATCTGTCGGCCAGCGTACCAAAATTATTGCATCACTGTAAGTACTATGACTATGACTCTTCCCTGTTCGTCCCGCTTCATGACATCTGACCGGCAGGAAACTTGCGGACATCTACTGCAACGATGCCTTCGGAACAGCGCACCGCGCTCACAGCTCCATGGTGGGAGAGGGTTTCGATGTGAAGTGCGCCGGCGACCTCATGGGCAAGGAGAGCGAGCAGCTTCGGTTTCCGGGATCTCTAAAGTTGTATCTGGGTTCAGGATCTTTGCAGACTACCTCACCCTTACACAACTACTTGGCCTGCGTATTGCTACAGCAGTTGCTTGTAGTACTGCTGCCTCGTTTTCGGACCACCTTCTTGGTGTGTGTTGGTGTTGTCTTCGGTTCTTCGTTATTGCAGGTATCACCATTGTCATATCTCTATCGTGGTGCATGCAGCTTTGCTTAGTACTGCCGTGCAGCATCGTTGCCGCCGATACAGGCAGCGCAGTTATTGGCACTACCAGTCGTTGTGGGCACCATTGCTGCACCACGATCCGTAAGATCGGGTGAAAGCAGCGGTGGCCGTCACGCAGAAAGTGGCGCTAATAGCGACCACGAAGCTGCCCCTCGTGACGGTGACATGCGGTGACCATTTTTCAGCAAGTGTTTTGGTCAAGACCACTTGTCAATGTTCTCATTCCGAGTCTACGCAATGCTGCTGCAAGTCCTGTTGTCGTTTAGGGGGACCCGGATGAGGCCGAACTTGCCCCGGTGTATCCGAACTAAATACACATCACAGCAGCTCTTCAAGTGGGTCATAGCACCGCCACCACTACTGCTATTATTACTACTACTGCTGCTACTACTACTACTACTACTACCACCACCACCACCACCACCACCACTACTACTATTGCTGCTCCTGCTTAGCTGCTGCTGCTAATGCACCGTTAGCACTGGCACTCGTAGCGCTACTGCAACAACTAATACGGCCAGCAGCAGCAGCAGCAGCAGCACCACCACCACCACCACCGCCGCCGCTACCACGACTTCTGCTGTTTCTTGTAATTTGCTGTGTCGTGCTTCGAAGGGCATGCTTGGAGTTTGGAAGACTCAACCCGCCTGCATGGAAAGGAGCTGGAGGCATTCGCCAAGGTCTTGGACAACCCGGCAAAGCCAGTGCTGGCCATCCTTGGTGGGGCAAAGGTGCGGAGCTTAGGCCTTAGGATTCCTCGAAGCGGTCGTCCTGGTCAGGATGTCGCCGTGGTCGTTGTAGAAAACAGCAGGCAGCTAGCTGCCAGTAGGGTTGCTGTTTCCACCACGACGACGACTACTATTACAACTGCCACTACGAACTAAGACTGTACCACGCGACGACTTCTAGCCTCCAGACCAATGACCGTGTTTGCCGTTGTCGCTGCAGTACTTACATCCCACAATATCCCTTTGCAGCGCCAGTGAATCTCGAAGTCTTCATTTGTTGCATCACAACCCACACTTGGTGCCATTCAATCCTACAGCATCGCTGTTCCTACAGACTCCGCAAAGCTGTCTTTCCCAAATGAAGCATCGGTCGAGAAATCTGGACCTGGCTTCTGACCCCAGCTGCACACCCTTGAAGTCCACGTTCGTGCAGCCTCGAAGGCCTGGGAATGGCTATAGTCTCCATTCTCCAGTGTAGTTCCCTGTTTGGTTTGACCAGTGCTATGTTTCAGTTCCTATGAGGTAACCCAAGAAACGAACTACAACGGCGACTCTACGATTACCTAGTGGCTAGGGCTTGGGGACAGCTCCTACGCGAAAAGGTCAGCGACAAGATCCAGCTCATCATGAATATGTTGGACAAGGTTGCGCGGCGGCACCTGCCATGCTGAATCCAAAAGGCTGACAGCCGTGTAAGTCCGAAGATTTCAACCCTGCCCACGAAACGGAACAGGGCATCTGTGAGTCAGCTTCAGATTTGTCGGAAGGGCCCATCCCACGCCCCATTCCCTCCGACCCGCAAACCCCGAGACTGTACCACAAGAGGTGAACAAGATGATCATCGGCGGTGGCATGGCCTACACCTTCCTGAAGATCAAGGACAGCATGGCGATTGGAACCTCGCTCTACGATGAGGAAGGCCTGAGGACCAACATTTATCATGGTTGAAATGTTTGTAATGTTTAGAATATTCATAATATTCACAATATTTATAATACTTGAAATATTTCGCATATTTATAGTATTTATAATATCTTGATCCAAGTCAGCCGTCCATGGGCCGTTATCCCTCCAATGCTCGCGGTGGGACGGGGAGGACCCGAAGACTTTTCCAAGCCCCTGAATGCCCCAAACCCGTAAATCCCCAAACCCTAAACCCCCAAAAACCCTAAACCCCCTAAATCCCCAAACCCCTAACCCCCTAAACCCCTAAGCCCCCTAAACCCCTAAGCCCCCTAAACCCCCACACCCGTACATCCCCAACCAAGCCCGAACTCCAGGGGCCAAGATCGTTCCTGAGATCCTGGCCAAGGCGGAGAAGCTCGGTCCCCTGGCTGAGCTCGGGTTTCTGTGGCTAGGGGGCTCCAACTCGGTGTGTTTGAGTCTTTCGGGGCTTCCGAGGTCTTTGAGTTTTTTGGAGGTTTTGGGGGGTTTTGTTGGAGCTGGTTCTGGCAAGACAACGTGCGCACTGTGTAAAGGCTTTAGGTCTTGGGTCGCCTTAGGTCGGCCAGTTATCCCAAAAAAAACCCTTCACAGGCTATGTGCTCTTTATTTCTTGATCGTAGCTTCGATGCGGGGAAGGCTTGAGTCTGTGTCGATGCTGTTGAGGGTCTCCGTCCGTTCTTTCGTAGATCAGCTTGCAGGCGTGGAGATCATCCTCCCTGTCGATTTCACCTGCTCCTCGAAATTCGGCGAGGATGGCGAGATCAAGGAAGGCCGGAACAAGCGTTGCGCTAGGAGCTCCACAGAGACTCCAAGAGCTTGTGCTTCTCGAAAGTTGTCGGCCGAGCTCGCGATCTACTCCCAGTCCTTCGGTCCAAAAATAACATGTGTGATGGAGAGAGGGAGAGTATCAGTATCACCACTTACCTGACCACCACGAATATCACGATTCACCTTGAGAATACCAATGACACGCAAAAAGCTAGGTTCATGCACATCCAGGCAGAGTTTGGGATCGTAGTTTCTGGGAGGAGGGGGATGGGAGGAGGCAAGGGTGATGAGGTTTTGAAGCAAGCTGTAAATCGCCGAAGTCGCAGCCGTCGTTTCTTGAAGAGGCTGATGCAGTTGTACGTGAAGCTTCCAGTAATTAGGGCTTTTTCTAAAGATCACCAGGCATTTCCGAGTCGAGCAGCAGTGCTTCGACTTTCGATCGATCTGCGGTTTGGGCTGGTACCCACAGAAACTTCCGAGCCTGACCAGCTCCCGATGGAGGGAGAGAGAGAGAGAGAGAGAGAGAGACAGAGAGGAGGCAACTCCTCACCACAGGCCTGATGAAAGAAAGAGAGAGGTAATGCCCCAGCAGAGGACTCCAAGCTAAGGCAAAGGCAAGCTGAAAATCTGAAGCACCCATCCCGTGGTCTAACCGCAGGTGTGACCAAGGATGCTGGCATCCCAGATGGCTCCTAAGCGAAAGTCAACCTTCGGGTTTGGGTCCGGAAAGGCCGAGAGGTTGCAGGTCTTGGGGGTTTTTCGCGCGCGACGCTTGGGGATTTGGTGGTTGAGCTTTGAGGCGACAGGCCTTTGCCCTCGAGGGGTTCAGGTCTTGCCGGAATTTTGAAGGCCTCAGGCTCTCACGCTTTTTTTTGTTGAAGGCTTCTGGCCCGACCAGTGAGCATGTCGGGCTTCGAGGGAGACCATGGGTCTTCCTTTAAAGCAAAGGGGCTTACTTTCATGGAGTTCTGCCCTCGCCGAAGCAGTGCAGATGGGGTTCCGAATAGAGCCCGTTAGATGAGGGGTCTGTCACTGGGAGTCCTGAATCCTCAACAGTAGGGCCCCATCGTCTTGAAACCCAAACCGAGGCTTCATGGGCTTGGATTGCGGACCTAAGTCGATCGAGCTGAATGCCAAGGCCAGCCCGAAGAATCCCCCATTCTTTACAGAAATAGGGTTTGGGGTCTGAGGGTGGGGTTCTGTCAAGTTTGGGCATTCAGGGAGCTAACTCGGATTTGGGGGAGCCGAGGCTCTTTGAGGTGGTTGCCAAGCAGGATCCTTGCTCGAGGGTCACCTTTCAGCGATGCGAGGGGAGGTGGGCCATCTCTGGTTTGGAGCTGACAAAACCCGGAGGCTTAGAACCCTGAGCAGGAAACCGTGAGACTCCAGACAACTACAATAGAGACCGACCCTCTAAACCTGAATAGAGCTGAAGCAAGTTAAAGCAACTCTTCGCTTCATGTGGCTTGGTGGCTTAGTGGTTTCCACGTTTAGGCAGTTAAGGACTTCCTTTAAGGATTGGTCATGCTGCACATTCGGCTGTCATATCTCTCCAAACAAGGCTTGTTGTCCTAATACGCGCCCTGCATACTCTGAAGTTCTCCCGTCCGGTCAGCCATTTTCGTTCTTGTTGCCGCTGTCCCGATGCCAGAACATAATAGAAGAGTTCTGGGGCCGCGACTCTGCCAGGGTGGTGTCAACTACGGGGACTCGTAGAGCCTCTTGGATTCCCACCCCTAAAACCAGACTATCGCTTGGAACCGCAGGTACATGCTCTGCGGACTCTTGCTAGAATGGTGCATGTTGCTGTAGCCGCGAACCGGATTCGATCTTCACGGAGTGTACTCAACTCCCGAGCCCCTCGGAGGCCGTGGCGGAGTCCAAGACCATCATCTGGAACGGCCCCATGGGCGTCTTCGAGATGTCGAAGTTCGAGATCGGCACCCCGACCAAAACGTTCCTAATCGAGCAGTCCATGATGGCCCGGCGGTACGAGCCTGACCGCTTCGTTGATGTCATCATCATCATCATCATCATCATCCACCTGAGACATCCTAGATTCCCGAGTCCACGCTCAACAGGTTTGCTTCTCAGCGAAACATCTGGGAGAACCACACTGGCCTCACATCTTTCAGCGCGTGCTCCACAATGTCCGAAGGCACACGCTCAAAGGTTTGGCAGCCTAGAGCACCCGCATCGTGGGAGTCTTGCAAAGGTGTGACACCACAGCAGAAACATAACACCGACTGATTTCTGCAAGCAGGTTGCCAGGGGTGCATGTGTCAGCGTGCTGGAACCAGAACGTGAAGCGCACTCAACGTGAAGCTTCCAGTCCCATGGAACGAACCGTTTTCTTACAGTCTTGGTGCATGTTTGCCTGCTTGTCTGTCGTAACAGTAGCTGCAGTTGTGGATTTGGAAATCTTAGGCCACACTTGCTGTCACGCCCTTCCACCTGCCCAAAGCTTACATTCACAACAGTTTCCTCGTTGAAGGGTACTGGGCCTTTTGCATGAGCAGCGTAAGTTTTACCGAGACAGATAAACAACGACCGAGACAGAGAGGCCGACAGACAGGGAGAACGTGCCCAGGCACCAAGAGTCTGATGGATGCTGTCGTGGCGGCTACAGGAGCAGGTGTGATCACTGCCACTCACCTGATACGTCGGATTTCTTCGCATGCTTGTGAGCGAGAGTTGATGGGACTTCAGTTCTCATGGAGCTCTTGAGTGCTTGCGTAAGAGCCGTGTTTCTCACACGTCCCTTCGTGCCCATTCTGCTTGTGGTCTGAACCAAGAGCCGCTGTTGTCCTGAAACAAGCCCCTTCTGACTTGCCCCTGGGGTCAAAACCAGTGCAGAGCAGGATTCATAGTTGAGGAGCACTTTAGTACAGAAAGGTTCGCCCGAATGCTGTGGCTGTGCTTGGCAAGTCTAGAGTCTAAACATTCGAGACCGGCCGTGTAGAGATTTGACATGGCTTCTGACGGGAGCTCTCCCGCGACGTCGCACACCTTTTAATTGCCTATGAACCTAAGTGGGCTTCGCATTCAACATCTCCCAAATGATGTAAGTTCAGAATATTTCACTGCCTGCGGATTTCCCGACGGAGCCATTGCGACGATGTACAACTTGACAAAATCCGCATCATGTAATTCTCCCACACCCCCTAAACCCTGAACCGAACCCTAAACCCTAAACCCCAAATGCTAAGTTCCTGCTTCCCTAACCCCTAAAGACCCAGGTCATTGGCGGTGGCGACACCGCCACGGCTTGCAAGAAGTACGGAACCGAGGACAAGGCCAGTAAAGACGAGGTCTTGGGCGGGTTCTTTAGCAGTTTCGTACTTAGGGTTTAGGGTTTGGGATTTAGGGGTCTAGGGTTTAGGGTTTCGGGGTTTGGGGTTTAGGGTTTAGGTGGGGGTTAGGGCTCAGGGCTACTCTTCTTGCCCTGGACCGGTTCGGACACAAAAGCTTTGAATTAGTCTGGAATGTTATGCACGCTCTCCAAATTTAGCACAAGACGCACGAACACAAGCAAACACATGATGCACCCGGGCTTCTAAGCTTCCATGGCAAGCCCCCAGAATATCCTAAAGCCTCCAAATCCGCTAAACACGAAAGAAAGCCGGCAAAGACAAAGGAAGCTAGGGTTAACAGTGCCAACTTTGTGAACCCCCTCGACGCAACAGACGAAACTGAAGGCAATGAGTGAATAGAGTTGAATAGAACCTTGAAGCCCCAAAACCCCAAATGCCCTAGCTCCTGAAAGCTGACTTAAAACCCCCCCAAAACCATGGAACACTAAAGCCCTAAAGCCCTACATCGAGAACACTCTCAATCCCGAGCCCTACACCCTTAAAGCTCTAAACCCTTAAACCCCAAAGCTAAACCACCCGCAACAAACACTTAAACCTGGACCCCAGCAAGACCTCAGCCCCAAAGCAACCCCTTAAGCAGAAACAAGCATAATAAGAGCAGTACTAACTTTGACAACAAAACGAAATAGGCATAACAACACTAACAGCATAAGAGTAACAACGACATTGATCACTGCCTATTATTTTTTACTATTGTTAAGAGTATTTGCATTGATTACTGCTATTACTATTCGCATTATTGCTGTTATCATTATTGCTACTGTCAATGTTAATTGTTATTGGTATTGTTTTTGTTGCGATTCTTCTTCTTATCACTATTGTTGCTATTGCTCTTGGTTACGATCGTCGTAAGAGTAGATGTTCAGAACCCTAAACCCTAAACTCTGAGCCCTAAACCCTAAACTCTGAGCCCAACAGGTCACCCACTGCAGCACCGGCGGCGGGGCCTCTTTGGAGCTTCTCGAGGGGAAGGAACTCCCAGGTCCCTGGTTTCAGCGGCTGAGGAGGGTTTAGGATCTGAGGGCTTCAGGGGTTTAGGGGCTTTAGGAGTTTGGAGGTTTAGGGGTTTGGAGGTTTAAGGCTTTAGGGGTTTGGAGGTTTAGAGCTTTAGGGTTTAGGGCTTTAAGGGTTTGGAGGTTTAGGGCTTCAGGGGTTTAGGGGTTTAGAGTGGTCGGGTTTAGGGCCCCGCAGAATCCTGCGGAGAGCGCGACACACACGTGTGCGTGAACTATTTGTTCTACATAAATTTAGCGTGTAGGCATTTTATGCCGACAGATAGGCCACATAGGTATGTAGCTTGATATTCAGGTAGATGGGTGGATGAATAGATAGACAGATAGACAGACAGACAGCTGGATGCATAGATCGGCGGATAGGTCGGTATCATGTCATCCTCTATGTTACACATGTTTATTTCTGTACCCCACCTGAAAGCGCAGTGACTCCCAGTCCCAACACCACCATCAGAGCGAGGGCATGTCATGAGTTCTAGACTTCTCGAGCCTGGACAAAGAGCTGGATCCTAGAGTCCGCCCAGAGCAATTACGTTGGCTTTTCGAGTTTTTGCTCTTTCCTGGAGCACCGGCATCAAGCGAGCCCGCTCCATTGGATAGCCCTGACGTACAGGTTCCCGAAGACTAAGACCCTTTCGTGCTCTTCTGAACTGCTATGTCTCTGGTTTCTTGTACGCGCGCATTGGGCGACATGCCCATGAAGTCTGCATAGTTCGCAGGCGTGGCCGCCCTGAACGACAAGCAGCTTGGGCACCCAACTGGCAGCAACTGCTATAGGCAGGGGTTTAGAGCATTTTTTCAACCATGACAATGTGAATCCGCAAGGGATGCCCTGCGCCTTGAACCCCAACGCCGAAAGTGTATTCTATGTACATGCCTGCATGCATGCATATACATTCATATACTCATATGCATACATATGCATAAATGCATAGAGATACAGAGATACATGCAGACAGACAGCCAGACGCACCGACAGACTGACATGTTTTCTTTTTTCCTATATTCAGGGAGTTGTGACTGGCCACGCTCCAACACAATTATAACTTGAAAAAACGGGGTCTGCGAGACCTGTGGGTCGTAGCTGTCTTCTTGGCACCCCCGAAGCCCCATGATCTGAATCCGGCAAGAAGATCTGAAAACCGAGTTCTTGACTCTGCCTGCAACCATAGCCATGCAACCCTGAGAAGCTGGATTCATTGAGGAGGCGATGCTTGATCAATACAGCTGTGGCATTGATACATGCAGCAGGTTCCTCCCACAAAATTTGTCAAGTCTAAGGCAGGCTGCAGCCGGTGTTGGACATATTGGTTCAAGCCATACCAGAGCCCATCCCGACTTCGACGAGCACCAAGACCCACAGAAAATTGATGACCCCTCTAAGCCCAATGTGGCCTCAACTCTACGCAGGAGGCCCCAGAGCCTAAACCAGAGCAACGCTCCCAGGTAGATGCAGTGTGCGAGGTATCACAGGCTGGTGCGATCAGATTGAGAGTCGGGCTGGGGAGTTGGCCGAGGTCTACACGTAGGGCCTGATGCTGATGATTGGTTCTGGTGTGGGGGGGTGTGGGGGGGGCGAAGGGCCGTGCTTTGGACAGGGATGGGCACGGTTGCATACGTAGGGATGAGAAGAAGAAGGGAAGGACAGGTGTTTGGACATTCTTCAAAGAGGAGGGGCTGAGACTCTTGGCTTCAATTCAAAGTTGTTTGTCAAGGCCGTGAGATAACCCAGAGAAAACGGCTTGCATCGTGACGCATCCTTGACGTTATTCGGCTGCACCGTTGAGGTGGGTTTGGACTGCTCGCAGTGTCCGAGAACGAGCAAAACTGCCAAACCCCAATGTGCTGTAGGGGATGAGGGTCATGGGATCTCGCTCCCAATGCTCCGACTGATGGCACTCGTGTGCCTGCAGAGTCTTGTCTTCGGCACAAAATCGGCTTCAAAGGCTAGCTCCTGCGTCTCGGTTTTGCTGCATTCTGCATTTCAGGGCTAGTGTAGTCCGTGCTTGCGGGTGTGACGATTAGACTAAGTGGCATCACTGCTGTGCAGGCCTGAAGTGAACAACAGAGCTCAGCACTGCAACTGAGGGCCTCAATTTTCAAACTCCATCTGGAAACGAGAAACTGTTCCAGTTGTGAGCTCGGCACCTCGCGAGGTTCAGCCGTCCCAGTTAGCTGAAGAAGTCTTTGGTGATTTCGCTCGTGTTCATGAGTTCGCGACGGCTTCGAGCACCCATCGTTTTCTTCTTGTGCCTGCCTCTGGTTCAAGAGGTCGCCTTTACCTGAAAACCAGTCGCAGCACCCGCACTTAACTGAAACCATGGAGCTGATGCCTTGACACATAGACAGGCAGACACGCACACAGACTCACACACACACACACACATCCCGTTGCGTGCTCCGGAGAGGCGACTTTTCACCTCAGGCAGTTGCTTGACCGCAGCACGTTCAAGCGCCACCACACCAGCCAAGGCTGCAAAGAGCTGATCTCCTGGATTAGTGCTTGCATGCTGTGCACACTTCGGTCAATCTGCTGATAGCAATGGAGCACTAGGGCTAGGGGGCAGCGAATCACTAGGGAGGGGCTCTTAGTGAAGAGTCTATGCCACATAGAATAGTGTTGTCATGGAACTCGGCGAACAGGGCACGCAGCTTGCGTCACCCTACAGGCTCTAAGAGGTCGGGGAATGGGCCGTGACGCACAGGGGACATCTTCCTGTCTTGCTCGCTCTTGCCCTGGCACACTAGGCTCCACAAGTGGGTGGACGATTCCCCCAGAAATGAATCTCGAGGGGCAAGCCTTCGTTCTCGCAGCTTCCAGAGGCTCCAGCCGGCGTTCATAACCTTAAGAAAACCCGACATGGCGTCTGCAAGCTCGTTGTGCAATGCATGCCTCGTAGAAGCCTCGTAGATGAGCACGTTGAATGCATTGCTGAAAACTTATAAACTCCAGCTCGTCTGCGGGCCTCAACAGCCTCCACTTGCTTCATGACCCAGAAACCTCGCAGCGATGCAGTCAAAGCCTGTACCCGACAAGGCAGCAACTTCCACAGGAATCCAGTTCCAAGCGTGCTCACACAGCATCTTCATGCGACCAAACGTTATCTCACCCATGGACGGAAGCCCGAAGCCCACGAAGCCCTTGAATGTCATGGGCTCGGTGCCACTGCGGGTTGTTGCGCTGCTGGGCGTCGCTGGATGCGCAGCCGACGAGCAGTGCGACCACTTGGTGAAGGGCGCGAGGGATTATGCCCGACTTGTAATCGCCGAACGCATTGCAGGGATAGTTAATGGGTTGCTAACAAGTGGACAGATGCAGCAGGTTTGGCAATGCATCGTTTAGTTCTTGCTCGACATGAGTCTTCGTGGAGGTTTGGGAAAAGTGGTTTGAAGCCCGAAACTCAACTGCGATATCCTGAGCAAGCTCTCAAGCACACAACCTATTCCTCCATATAGTTTCCCTCAGCCCTAAACAAACCCTGTACTCCTACACTCCTACACTTTGAGATTGCCTTCCAGGGCCGTGAAGTCACTCGGGCTCATTGAGATCTGCCGAACCGAACTCCTCACCTTAGACTCTGAAGGCTGTCCACCCGCATATCGTAATAATAATGCTCACCAGAATAACAATAACAATATCAATAATGGTGAATAATATATCAAGAATACGTAATATGATTTTTATACTGATGATGGTGATAATAAGGAAAAGAAGAAGAGCGACGACAGCAATAGCAATAACCATAGTAATGATAATACAGTAGTAACACTACCAATAAGAGCTCGAATAGCAGTTAGTAATATTCATAATAACAAGACTAATTATTACATAATCATAGCACGAATAACAGTAACAGTAATAGCAAGAATCGTAATAACATTACAATTTTCCTAATAACAACAAACATCATAATCATCACATTAATAGCAGTAGTGATAATAGGATTGATGGGGTAGTACTAGAAAAAACACAGGCCCTAGGACCAAGGACCCACACGTAGTAAGTTTTGCACGGAGACCTGTTTTCCAATCAAGGAGGTTCTCACGGTTACCGGGGAAGGGGCCTCCTATACTACATGACACTGTCTACATATTCCTACCGCTTGAGACTCTCTTCTCAGTCTCTTGCTCTCTCATTCCTAGAAACCTCTATCGCTTGCGCGCTGCTGAGGTCATTCCTGGGCCAGCGCGAGGCACCCTTTCCATGCTTCAGCCTTGGGGTGAGATTCAATAATTTTGTAAAATATCATATCATACAATGTAATATTAGACAATATACCATGATGTTAGGCATTATAATCATAGGGACCCTTAGGGTGGGCAAGTGGGCGAGGTATACTTCCTTAAGCGGGCCTCATTAGGTCCTTTACTACAGGTATAGAGGCCCCCTACCCCCTCCCCGCAACCCCTAAGGGTCCTTATGATATAGTATAACACAGTAAACAATGATAGATGGCGAGTCTTGCAGTTGGAGAACCCCGCGGGGCCAAGATCCGAATGCGGCGCATAAGCGTGCAATGGAGTTTGCGGCAGACCTTCGGAGGGTTGGGTGTGTTGGACCGATGCGATTCGCCATCGCTGCTACCTGCCATAACGTCTACACCTGGCGCGAGTCTGCCTCTACACTACATTTTAACAAGTTGGATCCGCGCAGCTCCGCAAATCCCTGACAGACCCACGAAGATGCAACAGACGCCCTATGAGAATTCTCACTGCATTCCCGAAAGCCCAAGCCCCAAAGTCTCAGTGCTTGTTAGCGGCAGGCCCAATGGAACGGGTTCAGAGTTCGGGGTGCAATATATATATATATATA